TGTGTCTGTGGGAATATATTGTGGTTCTGTGTGTGCGGCAGACCCTCAACTCAGATGGCTTACCTTGGTCTTTGCACCTGATTTGCACGTGCATTTGTTTGAAGTTGATGTTCGTTGCTCGCATGTTCCTCACTCATATGCACTTGTACGGGCTATTGTAATATATCATCATCAATATGAATGTTTATTAACAATCATGAATAGCTGTCAACAGGTATGCATATGTAGTTAGCCCACCCCAAACCTAGATTAGATTAAATATTTTTCATTTATCTTACTTCTTTTACTCCAATACTCACAAATCCTTTTTTAAGATTTATTTCTGTAAGTTTCTGGTTGTTGTAGGTGATATTACTTTACAGTATAGGCTTGTATAGGTAATTCTAGGTTTAGCTGGGTGTTGATTCTGCTAACCCTATATCTTTTTACAGAGACGGGCGCAATACGGCGTCCAGGCTCAAGGTGAGTTCATGGAATATGGACAGTATATATTTTTTATGATCAGAAATAACTTTTTAGGCCTGCACGAAGAAACCCTCTTAAAAAAAAAATGAATACAAATTTTTAAAAATCTTAAAGCATATAAACAAAATTTAAATATAATTATTGCAATGAAAACCATAATAATATTTTAAATATTATCCTTGTATTCCGTTAATATAATTTTTTATTAGCCCATTTCAATTCAACTACGAATAAAATGCCAATTCGCTGACCAACATTTGCATGCAATTAAAGCTGCCTTAAATTTCGTATTTTAGCATTTACAATATTCGAGAGCTTAACTGGCAGTTAAATTTGTAACTGGCATTCCTTTAGTTATGTGAAAATGCGCTGACATTCACTGAAATGAAAAGCAGTTGAGGAAAAAATATGAAAAAATGAAACGAAAATAATACACAACAAGTAAGAAAGCTCTAGTCGAGACTGCTCGACTACGAGATCCCCTGAACCCTTGCAGCAATAGATATTTCAATAACTTTTCGCGTCTTTCACAAACACGCACACACACACGCACGTACGCACACACAGGCATACACACACGCATACAGACACACATACACACACACACGCATACACACACAAACGCATACACACACACACATACACAAACACATACACACACATACACAAACATATACATACATATACACACACAAGCATAAACACGCATGGGCGGCAGTGAGCGCTTACTATGAGAACTTAATTG